TCAGTGTGCGAGCTGGGTCCGCTAGCAATCTAGCTACGGGACCGAACAAGCTACAAGGCCGTCGATACTCGTCCTGGGGTGTGGTAGTGTCTTCAATGACAGCTGAAGAGAACTTCGCTCCTCCACCCTTCTGTCATCTGATGAATATGGATCCACTAATCTATGGCGAGGGAGCATGGACACAGGGATCAACCTAGTCATGGATCCACTAATCTATGGCGAGGGAGCATGGTCACAGGGGGGTCAACTTTGTCATGGATCCACTAATCTATGGAGAGGAATTATGGACACAGGGGTCACCCCAGACACTAGAAACAACAGACATAGCCTCCCTCCATATAAGGGGCATTAAAGCAATTGCATACATCACTAACGTCCCATATAAAAAAAAACCTTGGAAAGGGTTCTAAGAAGCAAGATCGCCACCCACTTAGATACCAATCAGTTACATAATCCAGGGCATTATGGGTTCAGAGCAGGTCGCTTCTACCAGTACCAACTACTGGACCACTATGACATGGTCTTGGATGCTCTGGAGGAAAAAAAAAAGTGCAGATATAGTACACAGACTTTGCAAAAGCCTTCGACAAGTGTGACCATGGTGTAATGGCGGACAAAATGTTGTGACAAAGGAATAACAGAGAAGTAGGTAGATGGATCTATAACTTCCTAACAAATAGAACAGTAACAGTAAACAGTAAAGTCACGGGCTGCTACTGTGACAAGCGCTGTTCCACAAGGTTCAGTACTCGCTCCCACCCTGTTCCTCATTCGTATCTGACAGATGTCAGCCACAGCACAGTCTCTTTGCAGATGACACCCAAATTTGCATGACTCTTCCATTTCAGACGCTGCAAGACTCCAAGCGGACATCAACCAAATCTTTAAATGGGCCGCAAAAACTATGAAGTTCAATGATGAGAAATTTCAATTACTCTGATATGGGGAACTAGGAAATTAAAACTATCGGAATAAAAAAAAAAAATCCAACCACACAATAGAGGGAAAATCTAATGTGAAAGACCTGGGAGTGATAATGTCAGAGGATCTCACTGTCAACGATCACAACAATGTTTCTAACATCTGCTAGAAAAATGACAGGATGGATAATGAGAACCTTCAAAACTAGGGATGCCAAGCCCAGGATGACTCTCCAGGTCGCTTGTCCATCTAAGCTGGGCTATTGTCTGCACCTTCAAATGTTCACGGGCTGTTTAAAATATAGCATAAAACTACACTAATTTAACGTTATTTTTGTTTAAATAATGTCATGGCCCTCAAACCTGGTAGGCCTGTGGAGCTATCGGGTGTGAGCGGCCATGGTGGCCCCTCACCAGCAGCCCGGGGGCCTTCGCCAAACAGCCCTGAGCCAACTAATTGTAATATAGTCCGTCAGTGGCTATTCAATATTTACTTCCCGTTAAGGAAAGTATCCGATATCAATGAGATCCAAATATTTCCAACTCTCTTTCCTAAATAAATGCTCTGGAAAATGTACAAAAGGAGGATGACAAGTTGATCCCATGTATCAGAAACCTTCCCTATGAGGATAGACTAAGATAAGATTTCGTTCGATTTTTAACCCCGGAGGTTAGCCACCCAGGATAACCCAAGAAAGTCAAGTGCGTCATCGAGGACTGTCTAACTTATTTCCATTGTGGTCCTTAATCTTGTCCCCCAGGATGCACCCACACCAGTCGACTAACACCCAGGTACCTATTTGCTGCTAGGTGAACAGGACAACAGTGTAAGGAAATGTGTCGAAATGTTTCACCCGCCGGGAATCCTGCACTCTCTAGAAAGACGTAGAATTAGGGGGATATGATTGAGGTGTATAAATGGAAGACAGGAATAAATAAAGGGATGTAAATAGTGTGCTGAAAATATCTAGCCTAGACAGGACTCGCAGCAATGGTTTTTAAGTTGGAAAAATTCAGATTCAGGAAGGATATAGGAAAGTACTGGTTTGGTAATAGAGTTGTGGATGAGTGGAACAAACTCCCAAGTACCGTTATAGAGGCCAGAACGTTTGTAGCTTCTTTATAAAATCTAATTACCTTTCTTGGCGGGCGTGGATCTCGCCTCGTGAATGCAATATTATTTCTACAAATGTGTGATACAACTTATACAGACCATAGCTGATATCAGTGACGTACTATATAGTGTGTCCCTGGTTATGCAGAACATTTCTGGAAACTTTGGTTAATTTTATACCCAGGATGCCACCCACACCACTCCACTAACACCCAGGTACCTACTTGCTGCTAGGGGAACAGGACAGCAGGTGTCTTGAGGAAACACGCCCACTGTTTCCATCCGTACCGGGATCGAATCACAAAGTGTAAGCAGAATGCACTACCAACCCAGCAACGGAACACTATATAATCAAAAAGGAAAACGGAAAGTAACTATAATGAACCATACCACGGGCGGAATTGAACCCGCGGTCAGTCAAAACTCCAGACCATCACGTTAAACCACTGGACCAGCTAGCCCAATAAGATTCGTCCAACTAGGTATATTTGTACACCACAGGTGAAGAGTGACAGGTGGTTTAAGTTACCCAGGCACCTACTAACTGCTAGGTGGACAGTGACAGCAGGAGTAAGGAAACACCCAGGTACCTACTAACTGCTAGGTGAACAGTGACAGTAGGTGTAAGGTAACACCCAGATACCTACTTACTGCTACGTGTACAATGACAGCAGGTGTAAGTTACCAAAGTATCTACTTACTGCTAGGTGAACAGTGACAGTAGGTTTAAGATAACACCCAGGTACCTACTAACTGCAGTGACAGCAATTATTAAATAACACGTCCAATGTTTCCACCAGTACCGGTGATCAAACCACGAACATTGCGCGAGGCGAGTGCGCTACCAACTGAGCTACGGGACACACGATCTTTGCTCCATTTTTCAGTCATTTCGACTCGTGAACACGAGCCTAAATTATTTAATTTTTTACCAATGTTTTCTAACAAATACTTTCCGAAAATTCGGCAAAACGACCTAAATTAAAATTTTAGGCATAATTTTGAAAAGTCCAGAATTAAAAATTATATGAAGCTGAATAAAAAAAATTGTTTTTAATTTACTAAAAAAATTTCATAACGATCAACACAGTGCATCACCTAACACCAGCTGTTCCTGTCCACCTAGCATTAAGTAGGTACCTGGGTGTTGGTCGACTGGTGAGTGTGGCATCCCTGAAGGGGGTATACCTCAGATAGGCTAAGCTTTGAAATGAGTTGAGGCAAGATAACAGCTCTTAGCTGGTAAAACTAACTATAATTAGTTTTACAGGGGTCATACCAATACTAATTATTAGTTTTACAGGGGTCATACCAATACTAATTATTAGTTTTACAAGGGTCATACCAATACTAATTATAATTAGTTTTACAAGGGTCATACCAATACTAATTAGTTTTACAGGGGTCATACCAATACTAATTATAATTAGTTTTACAGGGGTCATACCAATACTAATTATAATTAGTTTTACAGGGGTCATACCAATACTAATTATTAGTTTTACAGGGGTCATACCAATACTAATTATAATTAGTTTTACAAGGGTCATACCAATACTAATTATTAGTTTTACAGGGGTCATACCAATACTAATTATAATTAGTTTTACAGGGGTCATACCAATACTAATTATAATTAGTTTTACAAGGGTCATACCAATACTAATTATTAGTTTTACAGGGGTCATACCAATACTAATTATAATTAGCTTTACAAGGGTCATACCAATACTAATTATAATTACAATTTGCACTAATTAGTACAACACAAAAATCAATACCCAGAGTACAAAACAAATTCTGGCCACAAAATAGAGCGAAACACCAACGTCAAAGACCTGGGAGTGATTATGTCGGAGGATCTCACCTTCAAGGACCATAACATTGTATCAATCGCATCTGCTAGAAAAATGACAGGATGGATAATGAGAACCTTCAAAACTAGGGAGGCCAAGCCCATGATGACACTCTTCAGGTCACTTGTTCTATCTAGGCTGGAATATTGCTGCACTCTAACAGCACCTTTCAAGGCAGGTGAAATTGCCGACCTAGAAAATGTACAGAGAACTTTCACGGCGCGCATAACGGAGATAAAACACCTCAATTACTGGGAGCGCTTGAGGTTTCTAAACCTGTATTCCCTGGAACCCAGGAGGGAGAGATACATGATTATATACACCTGGAAAATCCTAGAGGGACTAGTACCGAACTTGCACACGAAAATCACTCACTACGAAAGCAAAAGACTTGGCAGACGATGCACCATCCCCCCAATGAAAAGCAGGGGTGTCACTAGCACGTTAAGAGACCATACAATAAGTGTCAGGGGCCCGAGACTGTTCAACTGCCTCCCAGCACACATAAGGGGGATTACCAACAGACCCCTGGCAGTCTTCAAGCTGGCACTGGACAAGCACCTAAAGTCAGTTCCTGATCAGCCGGGCTGTGGCTCGTACGTTGGTTTGCGTGCAGCCAGCAGCAACAGCCTGGTTGATCAGGCGCTGATCCACCAGGAGGCCTGGTCACAGACCGGGCCGCGGGGGCATTGACCCCCGAAACTCACTGAAGGTAAACTCCAGGCAAGGGAATAATCGTGATTCGGATTTGTTGCAATTACTTGTATAACATTTAAAATTAATTCATACCTTACAAACAATATTCTAAACACGTTTTAACAGCAAGGTCACAGTAAACAGGTTATATCAACAAATACAAAATAGTGAATTATAAATTCAAAACGTTTTCGTGATCTAGTGCCAGGAACCGAGCTTGGAATTTCACTGTTTTTTCACTGTTGCTACCTGTGTTATGTTTTCTATTGAATCAAATAAATTCTGATATCTGAATGAACACAGTTGACGCTCTAGTTCAAGTGTTCAGCAGAATAATTTTCAGGTTCATATTGGAAAGGTTCACATGAACCTCGACAGCTACTGTACTGTGGAAATTACAAAATATTTTGAAAAATCTGTTATAGCTCTTCAGAGCTGCTTAAATTCAGGAACATGCAAATTTTAATTACGATCCTTTACTCTCAAATTGCTTTGTGTAAGGGTACAGATAGCACTTGGCAAGGGTCCTTGCTAGGCCACTTGATATGGTGTGTAAATATTGCAGAAGGGTCCTTGCTAGGCCACTTGATATGGTGTGTAAATATTGCAGAAGGGTCCTTGCTAGACCACTTGACATGGTGTGTAAATATTGCAGAAGGGTTCTTGCTAGACCACTTGACATGGTGTGTAAATATTGCAGAAGGGTTCTTGCTAGACCACTTGACATGGTGTGTAAATATTGCAGAAGGGTTCTTGCTAGACCACTTGACATGGTGTGTAAATATTGCACAAGGGTTCTAGCTAGACCACTTAACAGGTATCTAGGTTATATTACTTGGTATTCTAGATGAACATGACCTTGACTAACCTGGCCTCGGAGTCCCGCCCAGACATTTCTTCAAAATTTAAGGCCAGTGGTCTGCCATATGGAGTAGTCTCAGAACACCTGAAAAGAGTTGAAACGTTTTGATTCTAGATTAGGTAAATCCAGCTCTTTATATTATACATACCTGGTTCATCCCAATGGATGTATGTATGATACATCCCAATGGATGCATGTATGATAATTATGTAACTATGTGTATACCTAAATAAACTTATTTAACAATGACTTGAGATCGTAACACGAGTCCGGGCTGGAATACGAACCCATGGCAATCTAATCCTAAATCTTACAGGCCAGTTCGTTAACCAATCGGCAAGCAGGTTCTGTCATATCACTATGCATATCACTAGAGCCAATTTGTCAAATGGCTGACGCACTGGCCTGAGAGGATTAGGACAACCCTCCACCCGTTCCACCGGTTTTATGGGTTTATTATAATCAAAACTAAGCACTAAGCCCACCAGGGCTTAAGAGACTAAAGCAAGAATAACTATGTAAGTTCATTAACTGATACTAGGATAGATTTGCTAAACAAACAACTTTGGCGCTACAAGTCGCTCGCTACCCTGGATAACTAAACAAATAACCTGCACATCGGAGAGAAAAGCTTATGACATCTCGGTCCGACTTGGAACAATTTAAAAGTCCCACTGTGGCTTGTATAGTAGTACCTTGGTACTCGAACTTAATTCATTACAGAAAGCTGTACAAGTGCCGATCTGTTCGACTACCGAACGAATTTTTTCCAAAAACTTAGTTTTTCATTGGCTCTTATCACTAATCTTCTTAGGCCCCATGGTGATTTATTTATACAAAAAAAAAAAAAAAAACAGAAATGGAAAAAAAAAGGAATAGTTTACAAGGAAGTTCTGGCAGGTTGTGTTTCTTTGGTCGAGTACCGAGCAAACAGTCGACTACCAAGCTATTTTTTTTACTAAAGCATTCAAATAACGAATTGTTCGAGTAGGGAGCAGTTTGAGTACCGAGGTTCCATTGTAAATGGTCCAAGTCGGATCAAAACGTCGTCATTGTTGGAGTCACAGTATTGTGGCATTTTCTTCTTCCTGGATAACTTACTTCCTATCGTTCTTGCTAGAGTTTCTTTCAGATGGAGTAACCCAAACTTCCCGTTGACTCTTGCCGCCCTCAGTCACCAACGTGTGTGTTAGAAAAGGATCTTTGACGTCTGTAGTTAATAGATTGAGGGGCGTGGCATTAAGGATATCACATCCGTCCTTCAAGCCTCGAGGTGGAAGCGCCGAACTCAGCCTGGATAAAGAACTTATGTTAGCTGGTAAAAATAAAGAAAGTTGGTACAAATTAAATACAGAAATGTTATTCCCTCTCCTTATTACATTGATATTTCAAAGTGTGATGTAAATGGTTAGGAAAACCTAGTTAAAGAATGAGACTTTTGCAACGATGATGAGAATGAGGTAATCAGTCCCTCAACCTGGAGTCGATGTGTCCAGTCCAGTCTCAAGATTGACGGACTGATCAGACTCCAGGCTGAGGGACTGATTACCTCAAACTCCTTTTTTTATCACCATTGTTCTTTGTATTGGACTGATGAAGCCAGTGGTTGGCTAAACGTGCTACATTTGGGAATCTTGGAGGTAACAAGTGTCTCAGGCTTCAAAATCATATTCCAGGACTGATTTCCAGGACTCATTACGCTAATGCTTCTACTTGTACCGGGGATCGAACCCCGGTCTCTCATTGCCAAACTATAATAGCTACCAACTGAGCCACTTTGTGCATATTTAATTCTAAAAACCAAAGCCTTTCCTCTAATCAGAAAATGTCTTTTATAGTCTACCGTATTTTCTGGAATACATGGCGCGCCTTCCCCCCTTCCCACCTTGCGTCTTATATGCTCAAGGTCAGGATCAAGAGAAAGCTTTGTGGTATTACTAACACAGAATAATCAAAATATCTATCATGTATTGACAAGGGTGTTAGATTTACGAGGGAAGCGCTAGACCCTTGGGAGTCACACAGTGCCAGGGAAACTGAAAGCAGATTATATCCAAGGTAAGAGGGTAATTTTTAGTTCTATCGATTAAGAGGACTTCTCAGATATTAAGATGCCTTCTCTCAAGTGAATGATCCTAAACTGTAGTAGAGGCAGCCATGCTGTAGAGGCAGCCATGCTGTAGAGGCAACCATGCTGTAGAGGCAACCATGCTGTAGAGGCAACCATGCTGTAGAGGCAACCATGCTGTAGAGGCAACCATGCTGTAGAGGCAACCATGCTGTAGAGGCAGCCATGCTGTAGAGGCAGCCATGCTGTAGAGGCAGCCATGCTGTAGAGGCAACCATGCTGTAGAGGCAACCATGCTGTAGAGGCAGCCATGCTGTAGAGGCAGCCATGCTGTAGAGGCAACCATGCTGTAGAGGCAACCATGCTGTAGAGGCAACCATGCTGTAGAGGCAACCATGCTGTAGAGGCAACCATGCTGTAGAGGCAACCATGCTGTAGAGGCAGCCATGCTGTAGAGGCAGCCATGCTGTAGAGGCAGCCATGCTGTAGAGGCAGCCATGCTGTAGAGGCAACCATGCTGTAGAGGCAACCATGCTGTAGAGGCAACCATGCTGTAGAGGCAACCATGCTGTAGAGGCAGCCATGCTGTAGAGGCAGCCATGCTGTAGAGGCAGCCATGCTGTATAGGCAACCATGCCGTAGAGGCAACCATGCCGTAGAGGCAACCATGCTGTAGTAGAGGCAACCATGCTGTAGTAGAGGCAACCATGCTGTAGTAGAGGCAACCATGCTGTAGTAGAGGCAACCATGCTGTAGTAGAGGCAACCATGCTGTAGTAGAGAGGCAACCATGCTGTAGTAGAGAGGCAACCATGCTGTAGTAGAGAGGCAACCATGCTGTAGTAGAGAGGCAACCATGCTGTAGTAGAGAGGCAACCATGCTGTAGTAGAGAGGCAACCATGCTGTAGTAGAGAGGCAACCATGCTGTGGTAGAGGGGCAACCATGCTGTGGTAGAGAGGCAACCATGCTGTGGTAGAGAGGCAACCATGCTGTGGTAGAGAGGCAACCATGCTGTGGTAGAGAGGCAACCATGCTGTGGTAGAGGGGCAACCATGCTGTAGTAGAGAGGCAACCATGCTGTAGTAGAGAGGCAACCATGCTGTAGTAGAGAGGCAACCATGCTGTAGTAGAGAGGCAACCATGCTGTAGTAGAGGCAACCATGCTGTAGTAGAGAGGCAACCATGCTGTAGTAGAGTCAACCATGCTGTAGTAGAGTCAACCATGCTGTAGTAGAGAGGCAACCATGCTGTAGTAGAGGCAACCATGCTGTAGTAGAGAGGCAACCATGCTGTAGTAGAGGCAACCATGCTGTAGTAGAGAGGCAACCATGCTGTAGTAGAGGCAACCATGCTGTAGTAGAGTCAACCATGCTGTAGTAGAGGCAACCATGCTGTAGTAGAGGCAACCATGCTGTAGTAGAGAGGCAACCATGCTGTAGTAGAGGCAACCATGCTGTAGTAGAGGCAACCAAGCTGTAGAACAGAGGCAACTAAGCTGTAGAACAGAGGCAACTAAGCTGTAGAACAGAGGCAACTAAGCTGTAGAACAGAGGCAACCAAGCTGTAGAACAGAGGCAACCAAGCTGTAGAACAGAGGCAACTAAGCTGTAGAACAGAGGCAACTAAGCTGTAGAACAGAGGCAACCAAGCTGTAGAACAGAGGCAACCAAGCTGTAGAACAGAGGCAACCAAGCTGTAGAACAGAGGCAACCAAGCTGTAGAACAGAGGCAACCAAGCTGTAGAACAGAGGCAACCAAGCTGTAGAACAGAGGCAACCAAGCTGTAGAACAGAGGCAACCAAGCTGTAGAACAGAGGCAACCAAGCTGTAGAACAGAGGCAACCAAGCTGTAGAACAGAGGCAACCAAGCTGTAGAACAGAGGCAACCAAGCTGTAGAACAGAGGCAACCAAGCTGTAGAACAGAGGCAACCAAGCTGTAGAACAGAGGCAACTAAGCTGTAGAACAGAGGCAACTAAGCTGTAGAACAGAGGCAGCTAAGCTGTAGAACAGGCAACCAAGCTGTAGAACAGAGGCAACCAAGCTGTAGAACAGAGGCAACTAAGCCGTAGAACAGAGGCAACTAAGCCGTAGAACAGAGGCAACTAAGCTGTAGAACAGAGGCAACTAAGCCGTCTATCTCATGATAAAGTCCCGCTCGGCTTACAGTGAATTATACATGGGTTATTTCTCTAAAAAAAAAAAAAAAAACTTGTTTAGCAACACACCTGTGATCAGTGTCCTCTGGTGTCACTGTCTTGCGTTTCCCAAGGAATAACTTCTGCTGACCCGCACACTCGTTATCTGCGGAGATGATCTCAGTGACCAGCGGTCATAAATCCTAGTTCACTAATGCTATACACTACTCATAACAGAATTTATAATTCTCCTACATTTTCATTCATATTCATAAATATTTGCTGTCCCAAAAATAAATTCGCTGTTATAACTAACAATTATAATTAAGTTAGGCCGTCACCACTGCAATGTTTGTCACTAAGATGCATACAAGGGAAGCAGTGTACAGTAAACAGATTCTCAAATTATAGATTAGTACAGTAGAATCTCCGTATCCACTGATTCAGTATCCGCAGTTTCAGTTATCCACGGTTGACTGTAGCCTAAAAATACCTATTAATTTTATACAATAACAGCCCCAAAGTGCAAAATTAGAGAAGCTGTTAGTTCTTAAAAGACTAAACACAAGTTGTGAAGTGAAGAAATGATAATTCTCTACTTACAGAGCATAATTTATCAATTAAACCTTTTAACAGGTATGTATAGGACTTGTATAGGGTTTGCTACTATCCACGGTTTCGGTATCCGTGGCAGAACCTTGGAACGTAACCCCCGCGGATACGGGGTCCTACTGTATTAAGAAATTTTAGCAAGGCTCTAAGTATTAAGATAAGATTTCGTTCGGATTTTTAACCCCGGAGGGTTAGCCACCCAGGATAACCCAAGAAAGTCAGTGCGTCATCGAGGACTGTCTAACTTATTTCCATTGTGGTCCTTAATCTTGTCCCCCAGGATGCCACCCACACCAGTCGACTAACACCCAGGTACCTATTTGCTGCTAGGTGAACAGGACAACAGGTGTAAGGAAACGTGTCGAATGTTTCCACCCGCCGGGAATCGAACCCGGGCCCTCCGTGTGTGAAGCGGGAGCTTTAGCCACCAGACCACCGGGCCACACTATTGTATTGCTACAAACTAATAATCGCTCAAGAAAAACTAGGATAGAATGTTTGGCTTGAGGGATGTAATCTTCAGGTGATCCCAGTTTTCTGGGATTACATATGATAATTATGTTATATAACACATTTACTTGTCGGTGTGAAAAACTGAAAAGTTGATAAATGAGAAATTTGAAATATTTGGATATCTTTATTCTGGAAATGTTTCACCACACACTGGCTTCAGTCCAATGCAGAGAAGTTGAAAGTTGATTTTGGTGTAATCAGTCCCTCAACCTGGAGTCGATGAACTAACATCGACTCCCGGCTGAGTGATTACCTCAGACTACTACTACACCTTTCTCTGGATTGGACTGAAGCCACTGCGTGGTGAAATGTTCCCAGAACAGATACCCAAATATTGTACAATGTCTCGTGTATCAACTTACCGTTGTAATCATTTTCACCTGTAATAAATTAAGTCACAAAATTTTGATGAAATCAATCTTTCCGCGGTTAAGTGGAGAAAATATCCTCACACTTGAAGGACTGAACAATCGTTGTCTGGATTTTGTGCTGGATTTTGGTGTACCGCTTAAAACAGATACTATGGCGACCCAGCATCAGAAACAATAGTTCAGAAGGTACAATGCTTGTATCCTACTATACTTTGAGTTATATCCACAAAGAACATGTGTGCATATCTTTAGACTATAAAAAACATGGAATATTTACATTCACCCTGACTCAAGAAATCGTAATGACACGATTGCAAACAAACCATACCCTGGCTGGGATTGAACCCGCGGTCAGAGTCTCAAAACTCCAGCCCTTCCTATGGTGTAGAAATATACCTAGTTGGACGAATCTTATTGTGGCTAGCTGGTCTAGTGGCTAACGCGACGGGCTGGAGTTTTGAGAGACTCTGACCTTAGTTTAATATGTTTATTATGCACCCCATACCCATCCTGTGGGCGGTAGTCAAAAGATTACAGAGGTACATAATTGGTCCAGGGACTGGACCAAAGTTTTGATAGCTGAGCAAGTTAGAGGTAATGAACTCACAATTTACAAAGGTAATGAACTCCAGGTAGGTCTGGTCACAATCATGACAAGTTACAAAGGTATTTACAGATTACAGAGGTACGTAATGGGTACAGGGACTGGGCCCCCAAAGTTTTGATAGCTGAACTAGGTACAAAGGTAATGACACACTGACCGCGGGTTCAATCCCGGCCGGGGTATGGTTTACATCCACCCTGTTAGCATTCTCCTAATCATCTTTTTCCGGGTACAGTTCCTTCCTGCACAAGAGTATAGTCTTAGTACTCACCGAGGTCTCTGTATGACCCACCGACAGAAGTTATCTTGATGGCCGGGGTCTTACACGGACTCGTGGGTATGTTTAGCATCTCAAGGAGACCCGTAGGATGGTCGACCTGATCACCTGAGTTGCTTTCCTAAGAGCAGAAGATCATGTTAATTTAATGCCAACTGGATGCCACTAATGTCTTAAGAGGACAATAGTAACTAACAATTTACATTCATCAATAAAGCCTCATTTCTCAAGAGAAAATCACCTAGTCTCTGGATAGAAAAATTGTAAGGGCAATTATCTCCTACATTACTAGGCTTCACTACATATCTACATCTCAGCCTCGTTATTTCTAAGTATTCATACCTTCGTAGTCCCACGGAAGGGATTAGTTGTAGGATAACCACTGAATGGATTGGTTGATTTCACTGGAGGAGATTTCACTGGTGGAGATTTCACTGGTGGAGATGGATGGTTAATCTTGTGGTTGCCTCCAGCAGATAACTGCGCTGCATTCTCAGGTGAATGTTGATCAGGATGTTTTGGAGGCGTTTTGAAGGTTTTCATGTCCGTTTTTGGAGACACACTGTGGTAAGAACTTGAATCCTGGCCATTAGAAGAAACAGAAACTTGTGAAAATGGTGAACTAAACTTATCTGTTTGTGCCGAGGAAGACTTCTGAGACCTCGTGGCACTTTTAGGAGGGATGGAGAAGGAATATCCTGCAGGAGAATCATCTTTTGGACTTCCCTTAACACTCAGGTAGAGAGATTTCTCGGAATCTTTCCCCGATGCAGTTAACTGCGGTGTCAGCGACGGGTTGGGATCAGGTATTTCCGAAGTTCTCATGGTCCTCGGAGTGTCTGGATGGTCCCAACTGCAGCGAACCAAATAACTGTTAATAATTCATGTTTTATTTACAAACACACAAGATAATTTTTTTCACACTCAGTAATTTATACGAAGGGGGTTACTAGCTTCTTGCTCCGGGCATTTTAATCGCCTTTTACGACACGCATCGCTTAAGACACTTGACAGTTGGGTATCCTAAGTGTTGAAAGCTTTCGCTTACATAGTAGGTTTCTTCAGTCACAGTCGCAATAGGTGTAGCAGTGAAATAATGATTATGTAATCAGTCCATCAACCTTGGAGAAATATTATTTGAGGTGGTCAGTCCCTCATCCTGGAGAAGAGTTCAGCTTTATGGTCTGGGAAAAACGCTTGAACAACCGAGATCCAACCGTTGCATACGCGTATTAATCAACTTCTCGGTATTTCATAGTATTTTCAACACACACATGGCTTACAGAGGAAGAACTCTGCGCCGGTTTCCCTTGGAGATGACTGCAATCAGTTTACCAATTAATATAAACTGTTTTGTACAATAGAATTAACTCGCAGGTAAGGACCAACAAGGGGTGAGGGGGTGCGGATAGTGGAAGAAATTGATGGGGAAGAGGAAAGAATTGAAATATCTATTTACTACAAGTACAAGGTATACCAGTACATGTACAAGGTATACCAGTACATGTACAAGGTATACCAGTACATGTACAAGGTATACAGACCATAGCTGACATCAATGGCATACTACTAGTATACAGAAAGTCACTTGTTATGCTGAGCATTTCCCGCAGATTAGGTCCTTGTCCCAGGATGCCACCCACACCAGTCCACTAACACGCAGGATGCCACCCACACCAGTCCACTAACACGCAGGATGCCACCCACACCAGTCCACTAACACCCAGGATGCCACCCACACCAGTCCACTAACACCCAGGATGCCACCCACACCAGTCCACTAACACCCAGGATGCCACCCACACCAGTCCACTAACACCCAGGTACCCATTTTACTGATGGGTGAACATAGACAACCGGTGTAAAGAAACACGTCCAATGTTTCTACCAGCGCTGGGAATCGAACCCAGACCCTCGTCGTGTGAAGCGAGAGCTTTAGCCACCAGGCCACGGTGCACCTAAAGAAAAAAAGCCTGGGTTAGACCCAACAGATAAATGAAGGATTGTGTACGTGTTTGTAATCAGAGGAACCAGACATACTGGGGAAAAATTATATTCAGGAATGGGACACTTATGCAGCATTTCGGTATTTTTATTACGAAGACGTTTCGCTCACCATTGGCTTCATCAGTCTAAATTCTAATACAAAGAACGGCGGAAGGTGAGGTAATCAGTCCCTCAGCTTGAAGCCAACGTGCTCAGTCTAATTTTATCAAAACACAGGGACTGATTACCTCAAAATCATTACCCCTTTTGCGAAACGTTTCCAGAAAAAATTAGACATGTGCAACATTTGGGTATCTAAAGATACCCAGATATTGCACAAGTATCAACTAACGAGTTATAAATTATCTACAAAATAAAGTTATATATACGCATCAGTCTATACTCTGAGAAAGGTATCCCAGTAGTGTACAACCCCAGCCTCATGCACGTCAACGAACGCCAAATAGTGGAGTGACTTAACTTTTTAATGTAATTAGCGTTGAAGATTTGATGCAGGTTAAAGGAGACTTGCAAGTTATCACATGGACACTAATGTCCAGTGTCAGGAAATAAGGTATACAAATACACAACCCGAAGTTAAGTCGAAGAAATACCAGGTTTTAAGACTGGCTGAAGAGGCATTCTTGAGTTATTTCGGAGACTTAATATCTTAAAATACACCAGCACGAAGTTTGAAGACTCGCACAGTTTACATTCTCAAGTTATCGGCAATGAATGGGAATATAAAATGAAGTTATGGCTGAACAGGTTTAAGTTATAACTCTGTTAATTCTTGGTGTACAAAACCCACTTAAATCCAACCACTCTCACTCGTTAGTCTAAATTACGTTTAAAGTTACCAGAGGACTTGGTTTCAATACTGCTAAGAACTTTGATCCAGTCGTCGACTATGTCTAAATCAATATACTTTCCTACATCCTTTCTAAGTCTAATCTAATTTGTATTCATTTAGAGTTTTCTCCAAGGGGCATTTCTTTATCAACGTCTATTTTCTGTTTTTACCCTTAATAATTCAGGTCTCCGTTCTAAGTCTTAAGAGAATATACGTTCAGGGATCGCAGTCCAACTTTGTAGTTAAGATTTCTTATACAGTGAGTTAACTTGATCCTCTGTTTCAAAGGAATTTATATCTAATCTATAGTACCATGACTAAACTTTAGGTTCGTAATACAAGCGAGACTTCGCTTATGTATATATCTGTTTACTACATGTACAAGGTGTATTACAAGTACATGTACAAGGCATACAAGTACATGTACAAGGCATACAAGTACATGTACAAGGCATACAAGTACATGTACAAGGCATACAAGTACAAGGCATACAAGGCATACAAGTACATGTACAAGGCATACAAGGCATACAAGTACAAGGCATACAAGTACAAGGCATACAAGTACAAGGCATACAAGTACATGTACAAGGTATACAGACCATAGCTGACATCAGTGACATACTACTATATAGAAAGTTGCTTGTTATGCTGAGCATTTCCCACAAATTATGTCAGTTTTGTCCCAGGATGCCACCCACACCAGTCCACTAACACCCAGGATGCCACCCACGCCAGTCCACTAACACCCAGGACGTCACCAACACCAGTCCACTAACACCCAGGTAGCCATTTTACTGATGGGTGAACAGACAACCGGTGTAAGTAAAAACCCAGTGTTGGTATCTAATACCATCATTACTACAATGACCAGAGAGGCAGCAGCACAAGAAAAGAATACAGATGGTTCCAACATTGAGTAGTTTCGTCTCACTGGGAGGCCGCCGCCTGCTACTACTGCTGCTGCTATTACTGCTAGTACATGAACGAGTAATAGACGTACCAGAAGAGTTTAAAGTATAAATTTTGCTATTTGCAGATGACTGAAATGTTTCTCGACTCCTAGTCTCATCCCGAGCAACAAAAAAATATTACTAATGGTGACCCAATGTCTGAGTCAAGTGGCCAAGACTGCTATTGTATACTATTCGTGGACACGTCAGCATCATGGAATCTTGGTTCAGGGGACATCACAACCTTCTTGCTTACTCTTGGCCAGTCCCTTGGGTATGATCCAGTTCCACTGGGAAATCCAGTCTTCCAGTGATTGTCTTCGTCTGCTACACGTCTGATACCAGTACATAAACGCCTATCTTTCTGTGCTTCAGCTCCTGCAAGATTGCCGTGGTCTTCAACCCCAAAGCTGAGGGACTGATACCTGATCTTTTGTATATAATCATGTCCTTGAATTTGTATTGATAAAGCCACTAATGTAGGAACATCTACAATAGATACACAGATGTTGCAAATGTGTCTCAATCTTGACGGTATCGTTACCAGTCATGCACAATAACCAAAGACGCAAAGGCACTTTCGTGGTAACAGCTCTTCCCAGATTCGTGCTACTTATCCAGTACTTCAACGTGTCCCTCAAATAACAGAGGTGAAACAACAAGTAACATACCTGATGTAGGTGGTTTCGTTGGGGCCGGCTTGATCTGCCAGGTGAGTAACCAGCTCCGCCGGCTCGACACTTTCATTACTCACATTCCCTTGCAGTTTCTGCCTCTTCATATATTCTCTGACGACCTGGCAAGAGTATATTTGCACCACCAGGATATCAAATAACCTAAAGAAATGCCTGTGTGACCACCCTTATTAGCATTCTTAGTTTCAAGAAATCCCACAATAGTTAGGGCTTAAACCTGTGGCAAGTATGTAAATATTCACAGGCCAGTTTAAATCTACACTTGGGCTGGGATGCCTCTCACAATACAGTATAAATAAACTTCATTAAATAAAACGTTTGGTACGCAAGATATCCCAAGTATTAACATGTAAATGTCTTACCTCGCTATAGCGACGGTCAGTGCTCCGAGATACAGCGACCGGACCTGGTACGCCTAGATCATCTTCATTGCTGCAAAGTTCAGTATATGTGTGATATTCATGAATATTTTTTGGTCACTCAAGTATTATTTTTAAAGATTCGCCGGTATTTCTCCAGCCCGGCCTTGGCTCCCTGTCTAGGGAGTGTCTGAGACCTAAGTCTCCCATGGGAGGAGGCACAAGTACCCCCTCATCTTTGGGACCAACTGTCCCCAGACCTAGCTTCTCGTAGGGAGAAGCTATGCCTCTCTGGTCTGCTATCCACACCCCAAGGGGGTTATTGGGAATGGCAGTCTTGTGACAGACTGACTGCAGGTTCAAATCCCGCCCGTGGTATGGACAGTCTTGTGAGCTGCAAGCTCGTGCTCAGAGACCTACCCTACCCTAGAAGGGCTGGACATGGTGTCGATCTCACCGAAGTAACCATACAGGAAATTATACATATAAAATACCACAAAAAATTAGAATGCTAATAACATTATGGCAGTAAAAAATACAGGCAAATTAAGTAAAATATTAAGAAAATCTTTCAAATCAAAAACAGAATGGATTTTTTTTTTAACGAGGGAAGAATTGGCAAAGACTTTCTTCAGATCAGCCAGGCAGTGATTGATCAGGCTCTGATCCACCAGGATGCCTGGTCACAGACCGGGCCGCGGGGGCGTTGACCCCCGGAACTCTCTCTAGGTAAACTCCAGTGATGCGCATCTCTGATGTCCATCTACTGTTAGAGAAACTGGGTCAGCAGATGTAGGGAGAAGTCCATACGTCTCTAATATTTTAAATTCATGTATTTCTTACCAAATCTATTATCCAGAGGGCTGAGGAAGGGCTGTTGAGGTGGTTCTTACCAAATCTATTATCCAGAGGGCTGAGGAAGGGCTGTTGAGGTGGTTCTTACCAAATCTATTATCCAGAGGGCTGAGGAAGGGCTGTTGAGGTGGTTCTTACCAAATCTATTATCCAGAGGGCTGAGGAAGGGCTGTTGAGGTGGTTCTTACCAAATCTATTATCCAGAGGGCTGAGGAAGGGCTGTTGAGGTGGTTCTTACCAAATCTATTATCCAGAGGGCTGAGGAAGGGCTGTTGAGGTGGTTCTTACCAAATCTATTATCCAGAGGGCTGAGGAAGGGCTGTTGAGGTGGTTCTTACCAAATCTATTATCCAGAGGGCTGAGGAAGGGCTGTTGAGGTGGTTCTTACCAAATCTATTATCCAGAGGGCTGAGGAAGGGCTGTTGAGGTGGTTCTTACCAAATCTATTATCCAGAGGGCTGAGGAAGGGCTGTTGAGGTGGTTCTTACCAAATCTATTATCCAGAGGGCTGAGGAAGGGCTGTTGAGGTGGTTCTTACCAAATCTATTATCCAGAGGGCTGAGGAAGGGCTGTTGAGGTGGTTCTTACCAAATCTATTATCCAGAGGGCTGAGGAAGGGCTGTTGAGGTGGTTCTTACCAAATCTATTATCCAGAGGGCTGAGGAAGGGCTGTTGAGGTGGTTCTTACCAAATCTATTATCCAGAGGGCTGAGGAAGGGCTGTTGAGGTGGTTCTTACCAAATCTATTATCCAGAGGGCTGAGGAAGGGCTGTTGAGGTGGTTCTTACCAAATCTATTATCCAGAGGGCTGAGGAAGGGCTGTTGAGGTGGTTCTTACCAAATCTATTATCCAGAGGGCTGAGGAAGGGCTGTTGAGGTGGTTCTTACCAAATCTATTATCCAGAGGGCTGAGGAAGGGCTGTTGAGGTGGTTCTTACCAAATCTATTATCCAGAGGGCTGAGGAAGGGCTGTTGAGGTGGTTCTTACCAAATCTATTATCCAGAGGGCTGAGGAAGGGCTGTTGAGGTGGTTCTTACCAAATCAATTATCCAGAGGGCTGAGGAAGGGCTGTTGAGGTGGTTCTTACCAAATCTATTATCCAGAGGGCTGAGGAAGGGCTGTTGAGGTGGTTCTTACCAAATCTATTATCCAGAGGGCTGAGGAAGGGCTGTTGAGGTGGTTCTTACCAAATCTATTATCCAGAGGGCTGAGGAAGGGCTGTTGAGGTGGTTCTTACCAAATCTATTATCCAGAGGGCTGAGGAAGGGCTGTTGAGGTGGTTCTTACCAAATCTATTATCCAGAGGGCTGAGGAAGGGCTGTTGAGGTGGTTCTTACCAAATCTATTATCCAGAGGGCTGAGGAAGGGCTGTTGAGGTGGTTCTTACCAAATCTATTATCCAGAGGGCTGAGGAAGGGCTGTTGAGGTGGTTCTTACCAAATCTATTATCCAGAGGGCTGAGGAAGGGCTGTTGAGGTGGTTCTTACCAAATCTATTATCCAGAGGGCTGAGGAAGGGCTGTTGAGGTGGTTCGGACATGCAGAATGGAATGAGAATGACTTAGAGTGTAAGTGTTGTGTAGAGAAGGTGCGGTAGGGGGTCGTCCTAGGGAAGGTTGGAGGGAGGGGGTAAAATTGTGAACCTAATTGAACCCCAGATGCTGCTGCTGCTTCCCAGGAGCCTCACACACCCTCCCCATGTTAACGAGAATCCCCACGCGCCCTCGCCTAGTTGCACAGCAACCTCACGCGCCCCCCCCATGGTTGCACAGCAACCTCACACGCCCCCCCCATGGTTGCACAGCAACCTCACACGCCCCCCCCATGGTTGCACAGCAACCTCTCACGCCCCCCCATGGTTGCACAGCAACCTCGCACGCCCCCCCATGGTTGCACAGCAACCTCGCACGCCCCCCCATGGTTGCACAGCAACCTCTCACGCACGCCCCCCCATGGTTGCACAGCAACCTCTCACGCCCCCCCCCCATGGTTGCACAGCAACCTCTCACGCCCCCCCCCCATGGTTGCACAGCAACCTCGCACGCCCCCCCGTGGTTGCACAGCAACCTCGCACGCCCCCCCGTGGTTGCACAGCAACCTCGCACGCCCTCCCGTGGTTGCACAGCAACCTCGCACGAACTCCCGTGGTTGCACAGCAACCTCGCACGAACTCCCGTGGTTGCACAGCAACCTCGCACGAACTCCCGTGGTTGCACAGCAACCTCGCACGAACTCCCGTGGTTGCACAGCAACCTCGCACGAACTCCCGTGGTTGCACAGCAACCTCGCACGAACTCCCGTGGTTGCACAGCAACCTCGCACGAACTCCCGTGGTTGCACAGCAACCTCGCACGAACTCCCGTGGTTGCACAGCAACCTCGCACGAACTCCCGTGGTTGCACAGCAACCTCGCACGAACTCCCGTGGTGCACAGCAACCTCGCACGAACTCCCGTGGTTGCACAGCAACCTCGCACGAACTCCCGTGGTTGCACAGCAACCTCGCACGAACTCCCGTGGTTGCACAGCAACCTCGCACGCCTCCCGTGGTTGCACAGCAACCTCGCACGCCTCCCGTGGTTGCACAGCAACCTCGCACGCCCTCCCGTGGTTGCACAGCAACCTCGCACGCCCTCCCGTGGTTGCACAGCAACCTCGCACGCCCTCCCGTGGTTGCACAGCAACCTCGCACGCCCTCCCGTGGTTGCACAGCAACCTCGCACGCCCTCCCGTGGTTGCACAGCAACCTCGCACGCCCTCCCATGGTTGCACAGCAACCTCGCACGCCCTCCCATGGTTGCACAGCAACCTCGCACGCCCTCCCATGGTTGCACAGCAACCTCACACGCCCTCCCATGGTTGCACAGCAACCTCACACGCCCTCCCATGGTTGCACAGCAACCTCACACGCCCTCCCATGGTTGCACAGCAACCTCACACGCCCTCCCATGGTTGCACAGCAACCTCACACGCCCTCCCATGGTTGCACAGCAACTCACACGCCCTCCCATGGTTGCACAGCAACCTCACACGCCCTCCCATGGTTGCACAGCAACCTCACACGCCCTCCCATGGTTGCACAGCAACCTCACACGCCCTCCCATGGTTGCACAGCAACCTCACACGCCCTCCCATGGTTGCACAGCAACCTCACACGCCCTCCCATGGTTGCACAGCAACCTCACACGCCCTCCCATGGTTGCACAGCAACCTCACACGCCCTCCCATGGTTGCACAGCAACCTCTCACGCCCTCCCATGGTTGCACAGCAACCTCTCACGCCCTCCCATGGTTGCACAGCAACCTCTCACGCCCTCCCATGGTTGCACAGCAACCTCTCACGCCCTCCCATGGTTGCACAGCAACCTCTCACGCCCTCCCATGGTTGCACAGCAACCTCACACGCCCTCCCATGGTTGCTGTGCTCACACGCCCTCCCCTGGTTGCACAGCAACCTCACACGCCCTCCCATGGTTGCACAACCTCATACGCCCTCCCATGGTTGCACCTCACACGCCCTCCCATGGTTGCACAACCTCACACGCCCTCCCATGGTTGCACAACCTCACACGCCCTCCCATGGTTGCACAACCTCACACGCCCTCCCATGGTTGCACCTCACACGCCCTCCCATGGTTGCACAACCTCACACGCCCTCCCATGGTTGCACCTCACACGCCCTCCCATGGTTGCACAACCTCACACGCCCTCCCATGGTTGCACAACCTCACACGCCCTCCCATGGTTGCACAACCTCACACGCCCTCCCATGGTTGCACAACCTCACACGCCCTCCCATGGTTGCACAACCTCACACGCCCTCCCATGGTTGCACAACCTCACACACCCTCCCATGGTTGCACAACCTCACACATTGCCATGCTTCAAGCAACAAAACAACCAGTCAGCTCCTCCTAGTCTACCCACCCCTCACCTGGCGACCCTCACTTCCTCCACAATGATTCATGTGGACCTCGTTCAATAGGGGCCTGATAAGAATTTCCCCTTTACAATAGTGGACTGATGAGACTTCCCCCTTCTTTATAGTGACCTCGTAAGTCTGCTGCCGTCTTACAAGAAGCCTGATTAAAATCTTGACCTATCTCAACAGTGACCTGAGATGACTTCTCCCTCTGCATAACATACAAATTAGTGTAATGTAGGAAGCCTTAGACCTAAGCCACGTTTTCAAAGATTTAAGAAATTCTCTCTCCACTGT